TTCCCTTCCTTTTTTGATCCCTTGCCTTGCCTTCCTTTTCTATGACTCATATTTTGATTCTTGCCTCTTATATGTCTTTCTACCCAAACTAGGGGATAGGAATTACCCCCCCCCTCTTCCCCCCACCTTCCTTTTCTACGATTCATATTTTTGGAAGGTGCTTTGGCTGTAACTCATTCCAGGTGGTGACTATCTCCTTTGTTCTCGCACCTTCCAACTACCGTCGACTCCTTCCTGCACTTCCCAGTAGGTCGTCGACTTTCTCTGCACCTCCCAGTAGGCCACCAACCAGCTTCCGCCCTCTTTTGGCAACCACCCTATGTTGCTGCTTCCTCCGACCACCATCCAACAGGTCGTCAACCCTTCTCGCACTCTTCCTGTTGTCGCCGACGCCTCCTTGCACATTCTAGCAGGCTGCCAACCTCACTTGCATTCTCTAGTGGGCTGTCAGTCAGCTCCACTCCCTTCCGAGCAGTCGCCTGCCCCGTTGCTTCCTTTGACCACCTTCCAACAGGCCGTCAGCTAGCTACTGCTGACTCCTCCCAACACTTTAACGGCATGCAACCAACCTTCTTGCACCCTCTAACAGGCTGACTCTGATCTCCATCCCTTCCAGCAGATCGCTAGCCCCTGCAGCTCCCCTCTAGGCACCTTCCGACAATCTCCCACACTCCCTCCCCCCTCCGACGCCGTAGCCCCTGCTGCCCTTCATCTTCCAACAGTCACTCCACCTGTTGCTCTCTCCGCTTACATACACGAACGGCACCCACCGCACCGCCGAGTTCGTGGACATTCTTCTTATGCCATAGCAGGTTCTTGCTAGTTTTGTTGGCATTGTCTTGTTCAAGTCTTGATTGTACTTCTAGTTGCTTGCTTAATATTTGCTTCCTTTGTAATGGGTTGAGTTAACTGTGATTTTATTTGGTATCAGAGCTAGCCCAACTCTTGTTCTATCCTAGTGTTCCCTAGAGTCCGCCATTTTTTTTTTCTTTTCTCTTTTCATTTTTGTGCCCCTTGCTTTCTTTTGCTTCATTTCTCTTTTCGTTTTTTCTTTCTTTTTTCTATCTTTTTCTGCAGATCTTGAACCTTCAACCATGCCCCCAAGGAGATACTTGTCAAACTCCTCCTAGGATTAAATACAACGGGAGATTTGTTGTCTGCAATAGAGATTAGCAGAGTTGGATGATGAAACCCAGGGGGAGATTACCCTTTACAACTATCTGGAGAATCGAAGGGGCGACATGGGTGAAGATCTGAATCCGTTTCATAGAGTAGACATCAGCTATGAGGAATACCGACCTCACCGCTTCAAAATTCAATATCAGAGGAGTTCGAGAGAGGAGACCGCATATGGGGGACACAGAGACTTTGACATCAAAGTGGATTTTCCAGAGTTTGAGGGAGGCATGAATCCATATGGCTTTGTCTATTGACTACAATCAGTGGAGCGCATCTTCGAATATAAGAACGTGACAGAGGATAAATGGGTAAAATTGGTTGTCATCAAGTTAAAAAAGTGCGCCTCTTTGTGGTGAGAAAACTTGTAGAGACAGAGGAAAGGAGAAGACCGTCATAAAATCTCCAAGTGGGAGAATATGAGGAAAGAACTGCAATAGAAATATCTCCCACCTCATTACGGTCAAGACATGTTTCTGAGGCTCCACCATTTGCACCAGCGGGATCTTTCAATAGAGGAATTCACGATGTAGTTTGATTAGTCCAGATGAAGTGTGAGCTGGTAGAACCTGACGAGCACTCCATCGTCTGATATCTGGCGGGCCTAAGGCCCGTTATTGGCAACGTGGTATAATTGCAACCCTAGTAGTTGCTTGGAGATGTTTAGACCTTAGCTTTAAAGGTTGAACAATAACAAAAAATGGAGCAGACAACAATCCTCATTCAGGCAGTAGTCTTCAGTTAGGCAACCACCTACAACTATAGCAATTGATAAGGATCCTTCCGGAGGATCTAGCAAGGAAGTACAAGGAAATGACAGGCAGGATCAGAATGGGAAAAAAACATGAGAAAGACAGCTCTTCCAATACAGTACCATCCAAGAAATATTTCAGACGTCACAGTTACGACCACACAACCATCAGTTTTCCTATGAGTCGGGTAGTCACATTCACATACCAAGACGCCGTAAGAGTCATGGACGAGGAGTTAGAGGATAGTCCAGAGGAGGAGCTTTAGCTCCAGGGGGACGAGGGAGAATTACTAGTCTACAGAGTGTTTTACAGTCAAAGCTGGAGCTGGATCAATCCTGGTTGAGACACATCGTATTTCATACCAAGTGCACACTAAAGCACAAGGTTGGTAGCTTAATCATCGATAGTGGGGAGTTGTGAAAATATGGTGTCCGCAATAATGTTGAAAAAAATTAGGATTGGCTACACAAAAACACCCCTAGTTCTATTCTCTTACTTGGCTGAAGAAAAGGAATGAGATATGCGTGGATCAATAGTGTTTAGTAGAATTCTCGACTTGGGATCATCTGTAGGAGCAAATATGGTGTGATGTGGTTCTGATGGACGCCTGTCACATTCTGTTGAGGAGGCCTTGGCAGTTTGACCGCATGACTCAAAACGACGGCTTCAAGAACCCTTATTCCTTTAAGAAGGATGGAAAACACCTGTTAAGGATGCAAGAGGTGGGGGCGATTCAGAGGAAGTATTAGCTACACGAGCCACCTTCCTGCAATTAGTTCAAAATACTCCAGTGGAAATGGAATTAGTGGGAGCTGAGGACGAGAGTGAGATACCAGCACTACTACAACCGCTGCTACAGGACTTTCAAAATGTGTGACTAGCAGCCCTACGGAAGGATTATCATGTTGAGAGACATTCAACACTCCATAGATCTCATAGCAGGATCAGTACTGCCGAATTGACCCGACTACAGATTGAGACCTGCGGAGTACGAGGAGTTACAACGACAGGTGCAAGATCTAATTGCAAGGGGGCTAGTCAGAGAGAACACCAGTCAGTGTGCAGTTTCTGCCTTGATGGTGTCCAAGACAGACTGCTTGTGGAAAATATTGATTGACAATAGGATTGTCAACAAGATCATTATCAAACACTGGTTTCCCATACCTCATCTGAATGATCACTTGGACCAGTTACACAGAGCCAACATCTTTTTCAAGGTCAGCTTACATAGTGGGTACTACCAAATACGAATGAGGTTAGGAGATAAGTGGAAAACTGTTTTCAAGACATGAGATGGTCTATACGAGTGGACAATTATGTCTTTTATCTTGTCAAACACACCCAACACTTTTATGAGTTTAATGAATCAGGTATTTTGGGCCCAGATTGGGAAGTTTGTGGTGGTCTACTTTGACGATATTCTTGTACACTGCCGCTTCGAGTATGATCACTTACAGCATTGGAGGGAAGTGTTCGAGGTACTGCTAGCAGAGAAACTATATGTCCATCCGAAGAAGTTGACGACCCAAGTATGTTTTTTGGGTTAGATAGTGTCTAGTGCAGGTATTTAGATGGACCCCACAAAGTTCGAGGTCATTATAAGCTGGGCTGCATTGCAATCGTTCACCTAGCTTAGGCAATTTCCGGGGGTAGCATCATTTTACAGGTGGTTTATCGAGAACTTCAGTACTATCATTGCCCCTTTGGCGGACCTTTTGAAAGGGAAGGAGTTCATTTGGACAATTGCTACTCAGACCAGCTTTGACACCCTAAAGGAGAAGGTGACTTAGACACTAGTTCTAGCATTGTCGGATTTCAACCAATTGTTCAATGTAGGGTATGAAGTGACTATGAGGTAGGGGATGAAGATACAAAGGAAGTTGTGGTGAGGAAGTATCGCCGTCATTTTTTTCCACCTTGAAGACACGATGCCTTTTTGGGAGGGGAGTAATATTAGATTGGCACCTAAGGACAAATTTGTCTTTTGTTAGCCAGTGGACAATTTAGCATTTTATCATTTATTATGGTTTAATATAAATATGTCTAATATGATTAGGGTTTGGGAGATATTTTCTGCCTCTCGAATTGTAGGAATTGGGAAAGATTGCCTATCTCTCGAATTGTAGGTGCTTATATTTATATATTGGGATTGCGTTATTTGGTGTTTATGAAATTAATTATCTATTGACCTAATTTCTGTGGGAAATTTGTGTTGTATCCTATGGGATGACTTTGTGATGTTGCGAGTAAATCATTTTCTCTTTATTTTTATACTTGTCTCTATAAATAGGCACATAAAATAAAGATAAAAGACAGACAACGGAAAAGAACTAATGAGAGAATAATTCATTTAATAAGGATATACGAGTATTTTTTTCTAGAAGTACAAAAATAATAATTCATTTTAGTTTTTTGCTTCCAATCTAGCTAATGCTACCCCTTTGGAAAGTGATGTTACTTTTAATTTGTGTACCTTATTCTTTTTCATGCATTCTGCTACTATTGTTTTCTTTTTGATTATTTATTTATTTCTTTATTTTTAAGGGCAAAGCGACTGATATGTATATTAGAACGCTCTGAATCTCTTGTTTGGACTTTCCAGGTTAAGCTGCCTTCCTGGCGCCCTTTTAGCTGGTGTTGTTGGAATTCTCGTTGACCTGCCGATGATTAGTGTAATTGCGCTGTTTAAGAGCCCATACATGCTTTTGAAGGGATGGAATAGGCTTTTTCATGATCTTATTGGCCGTGAAGGCCCATTTCTTGAGACAGTATGTGTGCCTTTTGCTGGCCTTGCCATTCTCCTCTGGCCAGCAGCAGTTGTGGGTGCAGTTCTTGCTTCAACCATCTCAAGTTTGTTTTTAGGGGGATATGCGGCTGTAGTTGCTTATCAGGTTTGACGCTCCTTTTCCGCTACTTATTACACGAAAAAAGTTTCATATCACTGGAGCAAACGCCTTGATGAAATCCTTTCATCTTAAATTCTTAATTAATATATTAGGAGTCATCCGTCAAGATGGGCATGGCATACATAGTCTCTTCCTTGTCAGTGTTTGATGAATACAGCAATGATGTTCTTGACTTGCCCGAAGGATCTTGCTTTCCCAGGTACGCAATGCTTTCTTTAAAGCGTATTTTGGTTGCATTGTTTGAAAATTTTTGCAAGCTCGGTTATTGTTTTTGTAGGTATCAGTATCGTGCTAACCAACCACCATCAAGAAGTAGCACATTCTCAAGGTTTTCCTCTTTCGCTCAGGGAAAACAAGATTCCAAGAATCCTTCAAGAACCGCATCATTCAAGAATGCTATGGCTGAAGTGAAGCCGTTGAAGGTGAAACATTTCTCTATTTTTCTCTAAAATCGTCTTCCTTAAAGAGATTGCAAGCGGGTGGGTGATCATGCTTCACAATGCAGTTGCTTGAGTACCTTTTTGCTGAGTGCAAGTTGCATGGTGAGAATCTGGTTGTCGAAGGAGTTATAACTCCCAAAGATGTTAAGGAGTTTAAGTCTGGTAAAGCTGGCAACTCCATCATAGGCATTGGTTTGCCTGCGTATTGTATTCTACAAGCACTTGTTCTTTCTGCAAAGGAGAATGCGGATGGTCTGCTCCTAAGTGAGTAAAAAAATTCTCGACCACTTTACTAGCTCTGCATTCTCTCGTAATCTTTTGAAAGCTTGTATCAAGTATCATTTTTCATTGCAGGCGATAACACAGAAATAATGACCCAAAACAGGCCCAAAGATGCCTTCTTTGATTTCTTCTTTGATCCACTGATGATCATCAAGGAACAGATCAGGGTTGAGAACTTCACTGAAGAGGAGGAGGACTTCCTTTCTAAGCTGGTTTTGTTACTAGGCCATCCCGAGAGATTGAGCCGTGTACCTGTTGCTCCGCCACATCAAAACGAGCGAAGAATAGCTGAAATCAGCGCCATAGCTCGGAGGTAAACCTAAATTTATCATCAAGTGGATCAATATACAAGCCAGAAACTTGGTGTTTTTTCTCCTTTTTATTATCCTCTGTTGGGAATTGAGATAGCTCAACTCTTCCTTGACAATGATAAGGTTGCGAGGAATCACAAAGTCTATATCAAGGTATCCCACTGTGAGGCGCCGATTTGATGAACTCCTCAAGTCATTCTCTGAGGAGTTGGAGAAGAAGATGGGAGGAAGCCAACCTATCAATCGATTTCAATCAAGTCGAAGTTTCGTAAGGGCATTTAGCTCGAGTTCTTTGGAAATTAAAGCTACCACGCAAGAGATGGACGAGGAGGCACAGTTAGCAAGCAGCTCCATGGTTCATACTTAATGGTAGTTTGGTTAGCTTTATTTACTTTATTTTTAATATGCCCCACCATGTTTTAAAATGGATTTTTATCAGAAGCAAAATTCGATGAAGATAGTTATTTGAGGCATCAGATCTGATGAATGAGCTACATGGTATATGTTATATATTTGTATGAATGAATATGTATACACATTTATTTGTATATTTGGAATGAAAATTTTTCTGAGGAGATTGAAAGATTAATTAAGATCAGATCATTTTTTAGTTCGATCATCTATAGAAAAAGAACCATGTTATGTTCATACTTGGTTTGAATTTTTAAAAATTATAATTTCTCGGTAACTTTTATTTACTTTTTTGGACGACATTAATATTGTTGATGTGATTTTAGATATCAAATAACCTGTGAAGGTGCTATATAAACTTTTTAAGAATGGATTAGTGGCTGATAGTTGATGAATTGAGTTGGTTGTGGGATTTTCGTGTTATCATAATAGCACCTACGAGAATTATACCAATCATGTGTTTGATGTTCAACAAATTTAATATTATTGTGATCTTATGTACGTTAAATTTGACTTTAGAGCCAACTACAAGTCAAGGAGTAACATCAACAAAAAAATAAACAAATAAAAAAAAGAAAGAAAATCGGGTGTCTGTTGACGGCATTTGATGTTCAATAAATTTATTTTTATGCTCTAATCTTTCTTTATAAAAGGTAAAGTTTCATGAGAGAGTATGATGAAAAGTGCGGAAGTTAGAAATTCTAGTCTTTTTTTTCATCTCATATGGTACTGGTGAAATTTCTGTGAACGTAGGTGGATTAATTTTCTATTGAACTATGTAAATCATTGTGTTTGATTTTTGTTGTGTAAAATTTTTCATTTATGTATTATTTTTACATAATAATTGGTATTAGAGTTTCGATTTGTGATCGGTATGTGGTTCGGTTTTGACGGGGGTAAATCTGGTATGTGTTGACGACGTTTGTTGCAGTAGGAGATCCGACCTGTTTTGCCGGCGTGTTTAGAGTTTTCGGAGGCAAGTACACGGCTTGAAGGTGGAAATCCGACGAGCTGTCAGAAGCGTTTTCTGCGGTCCAGTGGCCTACGGAAGGAGGCGCAGGCCGGCAAGATTTCAATTGGAACCTGGTTTCACGTGATTCAAAAGAAAAATATAAGGAAATTCCTGTTTCCTTTTTTCTCGAGAAAGAAAATAATTTTTTTTTCACGTTTTTTTTTTTCGTTAAAAGCTTTTGAGAAGGAACTTTGGTAAAGAAAAAAAAAAGTGCACGCTTTTGGACAATGGAATTTCAGGGGAAAAAAAAAAGAATTTCAAAAAAAAAAGAAAAAAATGAAGGAAAAAAAAAGAGGAAATTTTATTTTATAAAACTTATTTCATTTTTAAGGTGAATTTTTTTTGTTTATTTTTCTTTTTTGATTTTAGGTTCCCAAAATAGGAGGAATGAATATTCAAGAAAATATTTTATTTTATTAGAGGAATATTTCTTTTCCAACAGTGGGATTGTGGGAGCAATGAATGATGACACAATATCAATTTCTTCAACGTACACTATGACGATGAAAATGTCGATTCATCAGATGTTTACTCATCCCGTCAAAATCGATATGACGAAATTTGACGGAAAAATGAAACTTTAGCATGTGACAATGTGAGATGATAGATGTGATTTGTTTTTTGAATCTGGAGGAGTACTAGATTGCGAGGAATATTCTGAAGAGATGTTAAAGAGAGATTAGTTCAAGATGAACCGGAGTGCTTGTGGCTTAATTCAAAATTTCTTCTCAGAAGAGCAAATATGTGGTGATGATGGAGACTTCCGCAGGAAAATTGTGCAGGATGCTGGAGAACAAATATCGAAGAGCATGAAGAATCACCTCCATTTGATGCTTCGACTATACATATTTCAAATGAGACGAGGGGTTACTATTGATGAGCACTTGACTTCATAAAGAGGTTGTCAGATTTGCTAAGTTTGGATGAGGAGGTTCGAGATGAAGACAAGACACTTTTGTTGAATTCGCTCCCAGAAGAGTACAAAAACTTCAGGATAACACTCACATGGGAATGGGGTTTTGAATTATTGCAAAGTGAGTGAGACGTTGTTGAATCATGAGTTCCATTGAAGAGACGAGAAGTTCGTATAGATTGAGTCAATTGTGGCACTTACACTCCACGTGATAGATTAAGTAGAAGAAGAAAAATTCGGCAAAGAAAAGAGGCAGCGATGAAACTTTTCAAAAGCGAGACAAGTTTTGAGAAAAATCAGTGTGTTTTTCTGTTTAAAGACTAGTTATTGGAAGAAAGATTGTCTGAAGCTGAAGAAAAAGGGAAAAGAAGTTGCATTTAAGTTGAAATCTAATATCATTGTGAAAAGATGTGAAGAGGCGTATTCAGATGTATTATTATTTGCAATTTCTCACAGTTTGTGTGAAGATGATTCATGTTGGATTCTGAACATAGTGCTACCTATCACCTTTATCGTCATGAGGGTGGTTATGTACGTACAAGGTGTAGTGAGTATCTTTATGTGGATGCATGATGTTGTTGTGATAGAGCTGATCGATGTTAAACATGTTCTAGATATCGGGAAAAATTTGTTGTTTGTCAAGGTTTTAAAGCCTGAGGGCTACATGATTGTTATTGAGGCCCGAGTTCTGAGAATATGTCATGGAGCAATGATTTTTATGAAGCGAGTTTGTCATCACAACCTTTACAATCTTCAAAATAATACAATGACTGGGACGACTCTTGTTGTTGATGATTCTTCTGATGCCACTAAATTATGGCATATGCGGTTAACACATGCTAGAGAAGCTTCACTTCAGGCTTTGATGAAATTAATATTGATCAAAAGAGCGATCACCTGCAAGATAGATTTCTGTGAATATTTTGTATTTTGAATGAAGACACAAATATATTTTAATAATATTATCCATTGTACAAAAGGTAATTTAGAGTATGTTCACACAATTGTTTGGGGTCTGACAAAGACAACATTCAACGGACATATATACTTTGTCTTTTTTATTGATGATTGCTCCATATATGTTTCGGTGTATATCATGAATCATAAAAGTGAGGTATTAGAGATTTTCATAACTTGGAAGAAGTGAGTGAATACACTTCAGGTGTGTCCTTGCAAGGGTGCTAGAGAGCTGGGATATATTATCACTTTACTGTTTGATAGACACCACAACAAAACGAGGCGATAGAGAAGATGAACTGATTTCTGGTGAATAAAGTTTGATATATGTTATTCAATGCTGATTTTGATAGTCTATAAGAACGAGGCCATAGACCATGTCGATCACTTGGTGAATCATCTACCTTCTGCAACTATTGGGAATAATACCGCAAATGAGATATGGTCGGGGCATCCTCTTAAAGATTATGAGCACATGAGAGAGTTTGGGTATCCAACTTAATACCACGTGCAGAATGATAAACTGGAACTACGAGCAAAAAAGATAATTTTCATTGGCTTCAGGCATGGAGTCAAAAGCTTCAAGCTATATAATCAATCAGACATAAAGGTTGTCTTTAGCAAGGATGTGAAAATGGATAATACAAGCTTGTTGAAAAATCATGACTCGAGGCAGATAAATAGATCTACTGGGACCACAATTATGCCACAGAAATTGGAGTTTGATGCAACTTCATTTGGTCCACATAAATCGTCCACTCCAACTTAGATACCTGATTCTGTTGTAGCTCAGGAGGCATATGTTGATAGTGCCCGGAGGAGGTGGATTAAGATGCTGAGGATGAAATTTCTGCTCAGGAATCTATAGCTAGAAGAAGAATCATGAGCCATAATGTCTCAAAACTAGCTTAGTTAAGGGATCACATTGCATTTGCACTTTCAACCACATAGGCAAAACTTCCTTGTCAGTATAAGGAAGTGGTGGAGAGCCTAGATTGCGATCTTTGGAGAGTGAAAATGATTAAAGAGATGAATTCACTTCGAAAGAATGTTACTTGGAGGTTTGTGAAGCTTCCTCTGAGAAGAAAAGTCATCAGGTGCATGACCCCTTGACCAAAGGATAATAGATTGAGATTTTCATACCTATTTTATACTGTTTTTGATGATATTGCACTTTAAAGAATGATATTTTTGATGTTTTGTTGCAGGAATGATAAATTAGGGTCAATGAAGCAAAAAGATGCAAAAAGGAGCGAATTTGGAGCGAAAATGACCAAAATATGGAGAATTAAAAAATGTGGAGAATTGCACAAGGGCGCCGACGACGAGCTTTTCCCAAGGTTACAGACAAAATTCTCCAGAAGCCCGCCGACGGTGCCATTGAGGCCGCCGACGGCGATGACGGTTATGTGCACTTGTGCATTGGATAAGGCCGAATTTTGGAGGGGTGCTTAAGCAACTCTTGGGAAAACTCATCCACATCATTAAAGGGAAGATTTTGGCCGAAAATAGGAGAGTCTAGAGGAGGTGGAGAGAGCTCTAGAGCTCCTGGAGGTTAGAAACGTTCCATTAGAGTGTGAAAATTGTGAGGAATTCTTCGAGAGATTGTAAGAGTGAAGGGAAAGTGAGAGATTTCTTCCTCCTTGCTATTTCGAAGAGAAGTTCTGTGTGCTGTAAAGAAAGAAAGAGATTTAGGGGAACTTCGAGGAGTTTTCTTGGGGAGAAATTATATATAAGTTTATTTATTAGTTGTAGTTTGTATGACTTTGAATTTATATATGAATTCCGAGTTTTATTGCATTTTCCCCATGAGATCTGAGTAGTTTTCTCTGTCTTTCTCCTTGTCTTGAGATTTGTGAAATGATGATTTGAATTGATAAAGCCATAAAAATGTTTAAGAAATTGTGATGATATTTTCACTTCGATCTTAATTTACTTTCAATTTGGCCAATTGATTTGTTAAAATATGTTGAGTTTTACAACTAAGGTGAAGATTACATTCAAGATTCATGGAGGTCAAAACCCTTGGAATTTAGGTGCAAATAAATAGGGAAATAATATTATCGGGCGTAGAATTGGAGATTTTAGAGTGACAGACTAAAATCCCCAATTCGGTCCTATTGTTTGGGTGCTGATGTGTAGATGTTAGCCCTCAGGTGAGGGGAACGTGGGAGCTCCGAAGTGAGAGCCGGTATCCTCCCAGCATAGCAACAGAATCAGTAACCAAGCATATGATTAGTCAATGTTCTTTATGCCTGGACCAAAGGGTAAAGAATA